TGATTGATCGCGTCAAGAATGAGCCCTATTTCAGACCCATTAAGGACCAAATAGACTCTCTTATGGATCCCAAGACATTCATCGGCAGAGCTCCCAATCAAGTGCTTGAATTCATTGAACATGAGGTGAATCCTGTATTATTGCCGTACAAATCACACCTTGAAGGGCAGGCACACCTCAATATTTAGACACTGTTTTATGGCTTACTGTATGTTTTAAACACCGAAAGTTTAATTTTTAAGACAATTATTATTGTCAACATTTTTATGCCATAAATAGTTTATTTTAGGTAATGCTAACTAAACAAGATTTTAGATTTTAATAAAGAATCGAAACAACTATTTATTGTGTTTTAAATGAATTCAATGTGTGTTTAACAGCAATAAAAAACAAACGATAACTCGATTTAACGGTAACTAAAAATACTTTTAAAAACTTAAAAACGATAGAATGAAAATTAAGATCACAGCGAAATGTCACCGAATTGTTGGTTCCAATTGTGGTACTGCTGTAATGTACTGTCGGCCACACTCTTACGGATCCGTTTCAACGACTGCTTGAAGTCATTGACATTAATGGGACGCATTCTGTTGGGGTTGCAGTGCTTGACCTGTTCGATCTCCATCTCCCGGATGGGTCCCAGAGCCGCATCTTTGGCCAGATTTGTCAGATCACTGCCGCTGTAGCCCTCTGTCTGAGCGGCCAATTGTTCCAATTCTCTTCGAGACAACGGATTGTTTTGTTTTCGCATCAGTTTCTCCAGAAGTGTGATTCGAGTTTCATAATCGGGTAATGATATGTATATTCGTTTGGAGAATCGCCTGTAAAAGTCATTCATTTTAATGAGTCAACGGCTATTAGAATATGCAATATATGTATGAATACAGACCTGAGGGCCGCGTCATCGAGTTCTTGGGGTCTATTAGTGGCGCCCATAACTAGAATCCTTTCCTCGTTTGTCGAATGGATTCCATCGAATTCAATGAAGAACTCAGTCTTCAGGCGACGACTGGCCTCGTGTTCGTTCTCTCGCCGTTCACTCAACAGAGAGTCCACTTCGTCTTCAGAGCACAACATTTTAGATAATAATAACATATTATAATAATTTGCAATTTCATACAATTAGTCATTTATTAGTAATACGACATTACCTATAAAAATGATGGTTGGCTGCAGCTCTCTGGCCACAGCGAACAGAGCTCTCACCAGTTTCTCGCCCTCTCCTAACCATTTAGAGGTGAGACTCGAAGCGGAAATACTCAGAAATTTAGCTTTTGATTCGGTTGCCACTGCTTTAGCCTGAAATCCAACCCAAAAATAACATTAAATTTGTGTTCAAATTAACTCAAATGGCATACAAGAAGTGTTTTGCCATTTCCTGGTGGACCAAACAGTAGAAGCCCTTTAGGAGGTGCTCTGAGACCAGTAAAAAGTTCTGGACGTATTGTCGGAAGTATAACCATCTCATTGAGTGCCTGTTTGGCCACATCCTGACCGGCGATCGAATCAAAGTTTATTGCATCAGAAGTTCGGTCATATATTTCATCCAAAATATTTTGCGCTAATTTTCTGTCAACTCCTTTGAAATTTGCAGAAAGTTTTGACAAAACACTGGTTGTATTCGTTGGAGTTGTTGGAGACTTGACTGTTGGGGTGGAATTCGGAGTGGAATTAGGAGTTCTTGACTTAGACCCGCAATTTGGTGATGACTTGGAAGTAGTGGGAGTTATATTCATATTTGACATAATATTTGGCAATTTATTGGTTAATCCATTTCGAGGTTTCGTTGATTTTATGAAAGTTTTTTGACTTGAAAGTGGTTTCCCATCGTTTGGGACACGAATTGATGAAACTTTAAAAAATCAAAACATTTAAAGTCAATTCAATTGAAACATAAAATTCATAAACATTTAAAGCTCTTCACTAACTACCTGTGCTTTTATTGACTGATTTACCGGTATTATGACGATTAGGGATTGGTTTTAAATTTTTCGAAATTTTAGGAGGAATTGGAGAGAAATTAAAAGTCTTTGGACTACTAATAGACGGGCTGTGGGCTAATGGATGTGGAGAGCAGTGGTGATCGTCATCCCCTTCCTTATAAAACGGCAAATGAGAGCTCTGGCCGTATATTCTGTTCATGCAATCTGTTTATACCATAAAAGCATTTCATTCATAACATGCGATAAATGAAAGACAAAAGCAATCTTCGTATGGAAACCGAAGAAAGTGTGACAACGACTGCATACCTAAGCGTTCCCTCCGTTCGCGAACCATAAGGAGGTTATTATTCATCTTAAGCTGCAGTTTGCGGGCCCTCTCGCCCTCTTCACCCGTCACTCCCGACAGATCTATTCCGATGCCTTCTTCCAACTCTTCGATGCCCTTCGAGTACATCTCAATCACAATCCGCTTTTGCTCTACACATCAAACATACAATTAATTGCAATCTCTTTACAATTCAATTCCAATTAAATACAAACTTAAATGAGTAATACTTTCAAACTATTTTTAAACCTAATATAATAAGTCATGTCAAGTGTCGTTGACCCCAATACCTAATGTAAATGAAATCCTTTTATTATAAATTTAATAATTGGTTTAAAACTGAGTTATTGCTATGAAATGACTGCAAAGTTGTTGAACGCGTTTCGCCAAAAAGTTTATTTAGTATTTCAATACAAAATCAATTCAATGCTAATCGTTAACAACGCCTACGCTTTGGTTCACTCTTTTCAATGCAAAACACATTTGCCTTCAAATCTAATCCAATATTTAAATGCAATTATAATTTGCATGCATTTAATGATATGACATATCATTTAAATTAATTTAAATTAACATCTAATTCAATACAAACCTATATTTTGGTCGTCAATCTTCTCGTCTATCTTTAAGGCTCTGGAGATGATATCGAAAGACTTCTTGTGGTGTTGTCTTTGTTTGATGAGTAGATCAATGTCTGTATTCTCATCGTTGTCCCGATTATCCATTATTTTGTAGTTTAGTAAAGATATTAATCGCCAAATAATTGTATTAATTATGTTAAATACCAATACATATACACTTAACCCAAAGTGTTTCACTTTAACTAACATTGGGTCAAAACACTTATCAACAAATCACTTATTATACCATCGATCAGATTGCCTCTTGGGATCAAATGCAAGTCAATCCCTCAGCCAAACGATTCAATAACAGTAAACCATTTGTTAATTGAATTCAATTGAAAAGTTAAGACATTGACAGCAAATGCAATGAATGTGTGAAACGAGTGAACAAAACACCAAACATTGCATAAAACTATTGATGGCTTCAAACGTGCGACCAGTCATTGGCTGCACTCCAGTCACGACACTCATGCGCTCACAAACCAATACTAATGTATAATCGGTGACAAACTTTTAGTTGTAGTCTATTATACCAAGGTACAGTATATTACAGTTAATCAATTTAATAATAGTGGTACAGTAATATCATTTGTAATCATTTTTGAATACAAATTAATCAATTCTAATTAAAATCATTTAATGATATAAATTTATTTCAATTTATTAAGAAATGTATCATTTATGGTATCATAACATGTTATCAATGAAACGATAATTAAGTCCCGAATTTCTTTTTGGCCAAAGAGTTGGGCAAATAGGAGAACACCATTTCGGGCGTCAACTCCACGACAATCACTTCATCCAAATTATCGACATTTCCCAGTCGTATAATATGTCGATATTTATCGCATTTCTTTATTTTATAACTATTTGTATCCAATTTAAAGAGATTATTGTCGTCACTGAAGAGGAGGGCATCGGTGGTGAAAGCCATCTGTTTGATGGGCCAGTAGTCGTCTATACTTTGATAGATCTCTTGTGGAATGCATTCATGAATTCCAACAGATTTGACAATCTCTTGGTTTTTAATGCAATACTTGAGAAGCTTATGGTTTGGATACGCAATCCAAAGGTCGCCTTCAGAGCTAAATGTGTTGATCCGCATAACAGTCGGCAACAAACTGTTAGAGAAGTTGCAAATCTGCGACCAATCGTCGGTTGAATACAGAGTTATAAGTCTTCTCTGATCTGTCGTACAAACGGCTAAATACTGTTCCGATGCAGTCATCAAATATATTCTGTCCTTCAAATCAATACGAGTTTCAAGAATAACTCCCAATACATCTAATTTCAGAACAGAAAGAGTAGTTCCAGAGGCTATGGCCAGAAAGTGTTGGCCACAGAATGTCACGTGATTTGCGTTAGGAATTGGTTCGTAAAGAAGTGGCACTTTTTCGACACTACTCTCAGTCCACGTCTTGATTTTGATGTTATCGTAGTTCGCATAAGCGATCCATTTGTCGTTAAACGAGGCATTAATTATAGGCTTCCGGGACTTAATGTCCGCCAATTTGGCCGCACATTCAGACAACGCAAGGATTTCAATGGTTTCGTTGGTTTGTAGTAAGTCTTCGTCACATTTGCCTAATCTCCAGATCTGAACAAAAGTTTCGTACTGAAGGAAAACATAATCTTTAATTATCGTTACTTTCGATGAATAGTCAGTCAAATGTCTTATTTCAAGGTTTGGTGGATAACAGCTCTGAGTTAGGTATGTGTCGATACCACCGCTTAGCAGCCAATTTGGTTTAACACATACCAGTGCTCTCACGTCGTGTGTATGTAATCGTCTTGTCGTCGAATTAGTCCATGAATTGTATTTCGAGTTAAGAGTTCGCGTAAACTTCACTATAATTGGATCCACTCCTGAAGAATATATATTTGCCTCATCCCTGTCCACACTAATGCAGAGAACGTCTGCCTTATGACTGCAATATGAAGTAATCAAAGTACAGGCCTTCCCGTCCCAGAAACTGGTCGTCCCGTTGGAATCGCCGCTAATTATAGTAAAGTCCTGAAGAACTGCTAAACACCAGACGACTACTCCTGTTTGGCTCACACTTATGGTGTCAACACATCTTCCGGTTTGATAGTTCCAGATCTTAATGTAGTCCACAGAACCGGTTATTATGAGCGCCGATGTATTGTCGAGGGGTCGGTGCCACTCAAGGCATAGAATACGGCCATCGCTTCTGTCCATCACTTTCTCAAACTCTAAACTCTGGTCTTCTATGCGATGAACAGATATAATCCCATCTTCAGTGCCCACAGCTATCAATGATTTGGTCGCATCCAAAGACATACACCAAACGGCACCCGACCTCACAGTGTATGACCTCTTTATGCAACTGTTCTTCAAATCGTATTCATTGACACAAGAGTTGAGTCCACACGAGAAGAGGCGCCCATTTGGTGCCCAAACTAATGCCTCGAGAAGTGAGGGATTGTCTGAATTATCACAAATGGTTTGTTCAATGAATGGTGCCTTCGATGCCATATTCCAGATGTCGACCACACTCTGGGTGTCTGACTGTCCGCTCTTGTATTTTCGGATCCGACGCCTAATTAGCGCCAACTTCTCGTCGTCTTCGTTATAAGACATGGCGTTAATTGATGTCATCTCTGCCACAAAGAACCGAATTCTGTGCACTTTTAGCACTGATTCGGTCGACATTTCGGTCAAATAGTCACTCAATAGATCCCATCAAAACTTTAACACTAAATATGATACCAAACACTCAAACACTGAACACATGTTTGCAATGCTTTTGTAGGGATTCTCTCATCATTTCATAATCTCTGTAAACATTCAATACATTTCTCGTTTCACTTTCTGTCAACTTTTGACTAAAAACTTTTGACTGAATTAAAACATTTAAAAATAATTATTGTATGGTAACAAACATAATAACTTTTTTATTTAATTATTTAAGATAAAAACATTAGATTATTTCACTATTAATTTGTCAATAGATGTATTCATAAATATAAGTTATTTAAATGTATTCAAATTTCAATAGTTTTAAAAAATAGAGATGAAATGTCATTAATGATCGGAGTTATTGTTTTCGGTGACAAACATGTGTACGGGAGTGGAGGAGCGGAGCATTTGCGTGGCTTTATTAGTGCCGACAATGGCTGACAACTGGAAGGCATCGAACTTACTATAGATGAGAGTGCAAGACATGGCGCTATAGTCTCCGGTGTACTTCTTTCCCTGCATTGAAATGTGCATAAAGTTTATGAGTTCGCTATAAAAGTGCGGATAATTAGGCGTCTCGTAGAAGATTAGGTGACGAATGCCTTTAATTTGATAGCGCCGGTAGAAGTGGAAGCGTTCGGTGTATAGCATGAAATGTCGGCCGCCGTTGAAGAACATACTCCTGGCTTTGGCCACTTTGCCGGGCGCCGTGTATTCACACACTTGCGTGAAGTTGATCTCTTGTTTTCGGAAGTAATTCCTGATCCGCACGAAATCGAAATACGATTCAATGAAAATCATTGTCCGCGACATCTGTTTGTCCCTGAATTTTGGCAAAACTGTCGAAACAAAGAACTCAAACCTTTCGTTAGAACTCGCGGCCAAAGAACTGCATTCAAAGCGATGAAACATTTGCGGCACTTCAATGTAAACACTACTGACGGCCGCTTTTGTCGAAGTGATCTCATTTTTGGTGACAATTTTGCCAAAATAATTGTTCGAGTGTTTGTTAAATAATGCGGTTATCATTGGAACCGTTATCGACGAGAAGACCAGTAATTGTGTGTAGAATTGGGTCCAACCCTCTAAGACCCACATTCGCACTCTTGAGAAGTCCACGTCCCGGCTCTGAGTGGGCGTTAAGTGCAAGTGTTTCATAATGTGGAGCACATGCTCCCAGTTCTGCATCAGAAACACATCCGTCTGATCCATAATAACCATCTCTATTGACGATAGAAAATCGTAATCCCTTTCGGAGTCACCTTCAGAACCAATGATAAGTCTGAGACCGAGTGGCGAACAGATGATTATATCCGCAGAATAAAAGTCAGCGTAAAGTTTGAGACTCTTTTTGGTGATGGAAAGACCGATTCGGAAGGAATCGTCAATATTTCCGGCGAACATCGACTCGTAGTCTTCGGGCTTTTTATGCAGTTTTGGCTCATCGTCTTCGGGAGAGAACTCCTCGAAAAAACGTTTGCCATTCATTACATTCGCCTTTTTGTCCGATTTGTCTTTAGTGTCGCCAAACATAAGACTAATCAAAATCTTTACAATTCTTAAGACACTGTCCCGAAAGGGCACTAAAATTAAAACCTTAGGACGGGTTAAGCCATTACATTCGCCTTTTTGTCCGATTTGTCTTTAGTGTCGCCAAACATAAGACTAATCAAAATCTTTACAATTCTTAAGACACTGTCCCGAAAGGGCACTAAAATTAAAACCTTAGGACGGGTTAAGCCTTGATCTCGATATTCTTCATCCGACGAGACATGTCGACTGATTTTGTAGTTGTGGTGAAGTATTCGGGTCCGGATTTTCATGATATGATTCAATGCATGCATACTATATATAAGTCTAATGTGTTCCCCGTTTTGGGCATTTCTTTCGGTAAACAATAAGTCCTTATATTTACTAATAATAGACAACAACTCGTATTGAAATGAATTCAACTCAAGTGGTGACTGCTTTGGGTCGCTAGTGATCACAGCTTTCGCTATATTCTCAACCAATATATTCTTCAGACTAAAGTGTCTTATGTTTTGTTTCAATGCTATTGAATCGCAAACATACTTCTCGTTATGAATATCAATAAATCTCTTCATTTGTTGCCATTCATGCTCTTTGATGGTCTTCTTCGGGCTCTCCTTTAGGTATTCGATGTCTTTTGCATCCAATTCCCGATCGAAATGAGTTGAAAACGGATCGTTCGGTGACTCCTTCTCCTCTTCTAAAAGTTCTTCGTTTGTCTGAAAAACAAATCAATTTATTAGAAATCAATGCTTTTTTGGACACAATTTACTCGTAATTACCAGTTTGTCGTCAATTGTCACCTCTTCTGACTCTTCATTTACTTCATCACTCAATGGATGCGTCGAGTGATCAGTCATATCCTGTGCCCTCCTCTTCCTCTTCCTCGACATCTGTGTCTTCACTTCAGATTCATTTGAATCCATATTCACGTCAATCAATGCAATCAAAAGTGACTGTCATTTAAACTTACAGTCAATGCAAACATCACTTCAATTCACGTGTTTTCACAGTTCATTCAAATAAACCAAAACATTGTGCCATCTGTTGGACACCAGTGATGACCACTGCTCTCAATACAACCTTTACAACATTGATCATAGGGTGACCACATTGACCACAACGAAAACTTGTGTCAATTTAGCAATTGGTTGCACTGTTTAGAGAAACGCTTGAATTTAGGGAAACAATATTAATATGTATTTTGATGGTAAGTGACGGACCAAATAAATGACACACGAGTGCATGTGTTTGAAGACTTGGTGCCCACAACTTGGGCAGTGGTGGTGGTGGTAGTGGTGGTTCGCACTGGTGACACTAGTACTACACAACACTGTTTGTCGATTACAGAGAGTATTATAGTAATAGACTTATAGTTATAGTGTTTGAGTGATTGACTGTTTGCTAATAAATGCAATGATTTGTGAAATCAAAATGAGTTAAAACTACTAATTATATGATTATACAGTAATTATATTATATTTAATATTTATATGATATTTGTTTAAATTATATTTACACAGAAATCGTGAGAATAACTGATAAGTGATTTGAATATAAATAGTAATCAATTTGAAAAATATCGTAAATAAAGAAAAAGTAAACAAAATATTAATTGAAATTAAGTTTCGATAATCAACTCATGGATTGTATTTGCAATGAATGTAATCATGCGATGACTTATGTCTCGACTCAGACCCTCCCCTCCCAGTGATGTCCATCCAAGACATCTCACAATTGGTCTGATAGTAAAATGGCTTCAATTGGATGCGAATCAGTCCATAATAACGAGATTAAGACACAGTTTGTCACTCGAGAGGGTTATTACAAACTCATGACTTCAGCCGAGTATTCGCGACCCAATCGCTTGGGATATACCACACAAACCAACACCACTGCTGTCAAAGTGTCATTCATCACCACAATCAACGCCAACACCACCCCAAACGCCACCAACACCTCCTCCCAAGACACCAACCCCTCCAACACCACCAACACATCGCCCAACACCACCACCACTGACCGCATCTGCTTTAATGTCGGACGAGAGCTCTATGTCTATAGTTATAAAGGAGTGAAAAAGGTATTGATCACTTCACTAGATCCTNACGAACCCCTCGAACACCACCAACACATCGCCCAACACCACCACCACTGACCGCATCTGCTTTAATGTCGGACGAGAGCTCTATGTCTATAGTTATAAAGGAGTGAAAAAGGTATTGATCACTTCACTAGATCCTGACAGTGATTTGACATTTGTTTGTCTCATTTTCAGGCCGCAGATTTGACAAAACCAGTCGACAAAAGGGTATATAAAGGGACGTATCCGACGTGTCATGACTTCAATTCATCAAACATTAGCTCCGATTGTGTGTACCTTCTGGTGGGGTTCAGTGCCGGACAAATACAACTCATTGATCCCATTAAGAAAGAAATCTCTAAACTATATAATGAAGAAGTATTGCCTATACCGCGGATTCTCTTGTATTCAATGACTAATTGTATTGATTTTAATTCAAACAGAGATTAATCGATAAAACGAAGGTTACATGTCTTAAATGGTTACCCAATTCGGCCAACTTTTTCATAGTGTCCCACAGCAGTGGACAGATGTATGTGTATAAGGAGGACCTGCCGTGTGGGACAACACCTCCGCACTACCAGCTCTTCAAACAGGGCGACGGCTTTTCTGTGCACACCTGTAAAACAAAGAGTACTAGAAATCCGATATTCCGGTGGATTATAGGCGAGGGTTCTCTTAATGAGTTTGCGTTCAGTCCGTGCAGTAAATACTTAGCGACCGTCAGTCAGGACGGATTCCTCCGGGTCTTCAACTACGACACTATGGAACTGATCGGTCGAATGAGGAGTTACTTCGGGGGACTTCTCTGTGTTTGTTGGAGTCCTGACAACAAGTTTGTGGTGACGGGGGGTGAAGACGACTTAGTGACCGTCTGGTCCTTTGGCGAGAAGAGGGTAGTGGCCAGAGGTCAGGGACACAAGTCGTGGGTCAGTGTCGTTACCTTCGATCCCTTCACTACCAGTTATAGCGATAACTTTGACTTAAGTGGCAGTGAAGAGGACATGACTTCTCAGCAACAGAACTCTGAGTCCAACCCCACCACCAACTCATACAATGCCATCAATTCGGGTGTCAACAGCAGGTCTGCCAGCACTTCCAGGTCGACGTCCGGCAGCTTAAACCGATTGAACAGCCGATCCGCTCATTCCCAGAACATCACGTCGTATAGGTTGGGGAGTGTGGGACAGGACACACACATCTGTTTGTGGGACTTAAGTGATGATGTGCTCAAACAGCCGGTCGGCCGCTCGCGGACTAGTATTCTATTACACAGTCCATCGACACAGTTATCCTCGATATCGGGCGCCAATGCATACCTCTCCCCAAAAGGCAATAATAACGTGCAAACGGCTAACTGTGTGTCCAAAGAGAACAGTGTGAGCGTCGACACCAACATTCTGTCTGTCAATCATGTCATCAAAACCACATCCAGTGATAAGAAAGAACACAAACGAAACTTCAGTTTGGGTTCTCGTAATAGTGATAAGAATAGTATCAACAAAACCAGTCACACGAGTAAACTCATCGACGACCCGAACCGGCTGTTGGGGACAGCCATCTGTCCCCGACTCGATGAGGTGCCACTCCTGGAACCACTCATCTGCAAGAAGATCGCTCACGAAAGGCTCACATCCCTGGTCTTCAGGGATGACTGCTTTGTCACCGCATGTCAAGAGGGATACGTATGCACGTGGGCCCGACCCGGCAAATGGGTCTGTACTGCAGCCCACACTCTACTGTCCACTTACTAACCCATGTATTGTCTCTCATTTCAGGGTAATATGCAATTGATATCGAGTCCCAGTCCTAGTATTGGTGCCGAAGTGAATGAAATGCTGGACGACGGCAGCAGTACTGTTGTCTAACTCAGAGTCAACTAATAATTATTAGTCAAATGCATTCAATAATTTCAAATAATTTATGAATTTATAATAAATTTTATGTTATTTCAGTAATAAGTTTATGAAACAAATACACAAACAATTGTTGAAAAAGAATACAAATTTAGATAATTTTAAATAAAAAACAAATGTAAACAAGTATTTAATACTAATTTAAATGATATTTTGATATCTAAAATGAAATTCAAGCCCTAATCCGAAGCCTTAGTCCACTTCTTCCATTCGCGAGGCGTCCTCTTCGTCGCCCTCGAGGGGTGGGATGTCGTCGTCGGCAGCGGCCGCAGCAGTGGTGTCGGCCATCGGGATGTCGTCGTCCTCTATGCCGAGACCCAATTTGATCATTCGGTGGATACGGGAGGCGTGAGTCTGCGGGTCCTCCAGAGAGAAGCCGGACGTGAGGAGAGAGGTTTCGTACAAAAGCATCACCAGATCCTTCACAGACTTGTCGTTCTTGTCGGCGTCACTATTACTATAATACTCTCTGTAATCGACAAACAGTGTTGTGTAGTACTAGTGTCACCAGTGCGAACCACCACTACCACCACCACCACTGCCCAAGTTGTGGGCACCAAGTCTTCAAACACATGCACGAGTGTGTCATTTATTTGGTCCGTCACTTACCATCAAAATACATATTAATATTGTTTCCCTAAATTCAAGCGCTTCTCTAAACAGTGCAACCAATTGCTAAATTGACACAAGTTTTGGTTGCGGTCAATGTGGTCACCCTATGATCAATGTTGTAAAGGTTGTATTGAGAGCAGTGGTCATCACTGGTGTCCAACAGAGGGCACAATGTTTTGGTTTATTTGAATTGTCTGTGAAAACACGTGAATTGAAGTGATGTTTGCATTGACTGTAAGTTTAAATAACAGTCAGTTTTGATTGCATTGATTGACGTGAATATGGATTCAAATGAATCTGAAGTCAAGACACAGATGTCGAGGAAGAGGAAGGCACAGGAAATGACTGATCATTCGACTCATCCATTGAGTGATGAAGTAAATGAAGAGTCAGAAGAGGTGACAATTGACGACAAACTGGTAATTACGAGTAAATTGTGTCCAAAAAACATTGATTTCTAATAAATTGATTTGTTTTTCAGACAAACGAAGAACTTTTAGAAGAGGAGAAGGAGTCACCGAACGATCCGTTTTCAACTCATTTCGATCGGGAATTGGATGCAAAAGACATCGAATACCTAAAGGAGAGCCCGAAGAAGACCATCAAAGAGCATGAATGGCAACAAATGAAGAGATTTATAGATATTGATAACGAGAAGTATGTTTGCGATTCAATAGCATTGAAACAAAACATAAGACACTTTAGTCTGAAGAATATATTGGTTGAGAATATAGCGAAAGCTGTTCACACTTGCGACCCAAAGCAGTCACCACTTTCATTGAATTCATTTCAATACGAGTTGTTGTCTATTATTAGTAAATATAAGGACTTATTGTTTACCGAAAGAAATGCCGAAAACGGTGAACACATTAGACTTATATATAGTATGCATGCATTGAATCATATCATGAAAATCCGGACCCGAATACTTCACCACAACTACAAAATCAGTCGACATGTCTCGTCGGATGAAGAATATCGAGATCAGGGCTTAACCCGTCCTAAGGTTTTAATTTTAGTGCCCTTTCGGGACAGTGTCTTAAGAATTGTAAAGATTTTGATTAGTCTTATGTTTGGCGACACTAAAGACAAATCGGACAAAAAGGCGAATGTAA